AACATGGTTCTTTCCCAGCTCGCTGGGTTCGGGTTCTCGGTGAACTGGAGGAAGTCCCTTTTGGTTCCCTCTCAGGTTCGGACTTGGCTGGATCTTGTGTGGGACTCTTGGACCGCTTCCTTGTCTCTGGAAGCCGGAGTGAACATGAAGCCACCCCTTGAAGTGGGCCCCACCGAAGTGGAGCCGGTGACTGAGCAGACAGAACACTGGACGCGTGATCCTGTGGTCCCGGGTTCGATCCCGGGCGCCCGCAAGAAACGATGGGCAGAGTTTCTTTCACCCTGATGCACCTGTTACCTAGCAGTAAATAGGTACCCGGGAGTTAGTCAGCTGTCATGGGCTGCTTCCCGGGGGTGGAGACCTGGTCGAGGACCAGGCTGTGGGACACTAAAGCCCCGAAAACATCTCAAGATAACCTCCCTCCTGTGACGCTGTTGCGGTTGCGGTCCCGCCTCCGGCTGTTTTTAGAGGGCACCCGGGTTGCACATTGGTTGTTCGAACGGCTATGCGGGAGCCTGAACTTCGCCGTACTGGTCTACCCACCGGGTCGGATCTGGCTTTGGCGGATGTTATGGTGTCTTTGGGGTCGTCCCTTCCACCGCTCTCGCGATGGATGGGTTCGGATAACGGGAGCCTTGCATTGAGTGCTGCGTCGCCAGCTTCCTTAGTGGGTTTTTTTTGGTTCTGTGCCATGGCGCCTCCCCGAGCCATCGCTCAATGTGTTCACAGATGCCTCGTCTTTCGGCTGTGGTTTGTGACACATGCTCACCAGGCTGGCCAGGGTCGGTGGGGTCCATCATTCTGTCGAGCTCACAGCACGGTGCGGGATTTTGCGGCTGTGTGGCATTCGCTTCAGAGGATTTGGGCCGCTCGAGGAGCAACGATCCGGCTCCATTCGGACTGCTCCCCGGTGGTTCACTGCCTGAACCATGGGGGTTTGATGCGGTCCTTGGTTCTTTGGGGCTGGTCACTTCGGGTGACTCGTCTTCTGAATTCTCGGAGTTTGGCTCTCCTGGCGGTTTATGTTCTGGGGGTGTCAAACATCCTGGCAGATGGACTGTCTCGGTTCATTCCCCTTTCCATGGAATGGACGGTCGACGCCGACTCGTTCAGTTGGCTCTGCTGGACGTACGGATGCCCAGAGGTGGACCTGTTCGCATCGGCGTGGTTGAGCCGTCTTCCAGTTTATGTGGCGCCCTTCCCAGACGGCGAGGCCATCGGGGTCGATGCCTTTCAGCTGGACTGGTCGAGGCGGAGTTACCTGTACCTCTTCCCTCCGGTTCGGTTGTTGCTCCAGATCCTGGCTCGGTTGGAGACTTGCCAAGGGAGAGTAGTCCTGTTGGCTCCTTGGTGGTCAGGCCAGCCTTGGTTTTCAGGCGCATGTCCGAACCTGAGGGTCTTCCCGCGGCTCCGCCTTTTTCAGCAGATCGGTCCGGTCCGTTACGTGGCTCGTTCGATCTTCTCCACTCATCACGTCTGGTCTTTTTGACGCGGGTGTATCACCACTTGTATGGTGATCAGGTGATTTAGTTGATGGTGTCCCACCTGTGAGTTTCGTCTAGATGGCAGTATGAAATTTCCTGGCGGTCCTCTTTCGGCAAATTTTGTCTCTTTGTAGGTTGTCTTCGATTTTTGATCGGGTTGTTTTGTCCTTTCTCTCTTAGTTGTTTCAGGACCGTCATCTTGTGCCAAATACTGTCGCCTCGTTTCGTGCGGCGCTGGCAGAGCTGCTGCAGCTTGTTTTTGGGGTGGATGTCTCTTCTGCTCCGTTCCCCCAAGCTTTCTCGGACGTTGTTTCACCTCTGGCCTGCTCATGTACCGCCTGAGCAGTCCTGGTCGTTCGACCGGGTGCTCTCTTTTCTCTCTTCTCATCAGTTTAGGACTGCTTTTCTAAGGCTCTTTTCTTGAGGGCATTGGCCTCTGGGGCTCGGATCGGGGAGCTTCATGCTCTCCTCCGGCGCAGGGGTTTCTGCTCTTTCGGTCCTGGTGGTAGTTTTGTTCGTTTGCAGCCTTCTTCATTTATGGTGAAGAATCAGTCTGCTGCTTTCCGAAGGGGTTCTTGGGTTGTTGATGCTTGGTTGGTTCGGCCGGGGGTGCATCATGTTTTGTGTCCAGTTGCGCCTCTTCACCGGTATCTGCGTGCCACGGCCTCTGTGGCAGGGGACACGCTTTGGGTGGACCCAGTTTCCCTTCTTCCCTGTTCCAAGGAGCGGTTCTCCCGGGTCGTCCACAGGATTATTCGGTCCAGCCAGCCTGCGGTCTATCCTTGTGTCCACAACGCTTGTAAGTTCCGGCTTTGACTGCTGTTTTTGGGAATATGTCCTGGGCTGACATTTGGGCATGGGGCTTATGGAGGTCGAACAGGTTCCTGGCTGCACGGTACCTCGTTTACGTTTCTGGGCCTTCTCAGGCCTGTGTAGCCTTGGGTCGCAGATTGCAGCCATTTGTCTCGACTTCGAGTTGAGGAGCGAGTGATGACCGCCTCCCGGGTAAGTCCCTTTTTTTCTTTGTCTTTGCTTAGGTAGCTCCGGGGAGCCAAAAGGACTCTTCAAAGAAAACCAGCATTGAATGAAATGAAATGCCATTTTCTGGGTGAGACCCGGAGGCTCCCCGGCATCCCTTCCTCGCTCCGGACGGCGGTTTTTCGCGGTTTTTGATACTCGGCCTCTGAACTGAGGAGAGTTACTAGCGTGGAGGTCTGGGAACCCCCCCCCCCCACTGTCCCCCTCCCGGGGAGGGGGGGGGGGGTTGCACAGACGAATGTGCGGCATTTGTGGTGACGTCACACTTGTTTCCTTGGTTTTGATTGAGGAGTATTGTTGCTAGTTTGGCTTTTGGTTTACAATTTATTTGATCAGCAGTATTCCTCCTCCCACTATACTGTATGTGCTGTTCTGTACACTATATACACAAATTAAATCTCTCCATGTTTTATTCACCATAACTGTACAACTAAGCTGGTATGGTGTCCAAACAACATAGTGGCCACAACAAAATTGCCTGACAGGAGAGAGAGCTGCGGCTCCTCCCAACATACTCCTATTGCTGTTATTTCACTATCCACTCAATTTAACAGCCTCTTTTATACTGATCTGCCGGTAATAACGATCGGTTTGGGAGACCGGTATCTGGAGCCTCGTATACCGGTCTGGCGGTCGATATTACCGAAGGTCGGTATTGGGTTTGTTTTGGCCCAATACTTTGACTCTGACCTGCAAAATTAAACAGGAGTTACAAATATGTATGTGCATGTGAGGGGACCAAATTGGCGTCCCCTCACATGGCAACCAGGCCACCAACCTCGATCGTCCAGAGTCGTATATTAAATCTTAACTTTCTTTTAAAATGATTCAGTTTAACCACCATGCTGCGCCGAGTTTATTGTGAAATTCCCACAGTGCGCATGAAATAAAGTGTTCCCAAAAAATTATTTTTTCTTCGTAAAATGATAAATTCCCTTCCCTGAACATGTCTATGTAAAAATAAATACCAAATTCCACTTATTTTGGCTGTGGGGATGTGGACGAGGTGCGCTGTGATGCGCTTCTGGCTCCCAAACACCTGTCTGACACGGTGTTGAAAGATAATGCTCTGTCGGTGAAATACAAACCTTATTGTTTGAAGAACGTAAGGGTCATAATATTGGTGAAGCTAGGCGCAATAAGGACCTAACACAATGGTCAGATGCAAGTGATACAGCACCTATGAGGATGATACAGCGAGCGTATCCAGTTGTAGCTCTGAGCGTTACCCTTACAATTCTATGCCATCTACAATTTATTTAGATGATGCATAGATGAACAGTGTTAGCAGCTTCCATGGTGATGTTTTCCATAGATATTTTCAAGAATACCTGAATCTCTTCCTAACTGACAGACACTTTGAGGCTAGCTGAATCTCTTTCTGACTGACAGGCACTCTTGAGGTAAGCTGAATCTCTTCCTGTGTGGGACCATACAAAGCGATCTTTTCAAGACTACCTTACAAATTGATCTTTTCCTATAATTTTTACAATACTACCGTATGCTTTACAAGCTTGGCTACATACAACCTACAAGTACCAAAGCCAAGGGTGTACGTGAATGTATTATTTGCAAGCACACAGAATGAAGAAACAGGAAGCGAAAATTTATCTGTACCTGATGCACCGAGAGCGAAGTCGCGCTGTGCACCATGGGCTACTTCGGTGATTATTACTCACTTCTGAAGTACTGAGTGTGTAATACAGTGTGTTACTGTGTAGTGTGTGAAACTGTACATATTGTAATTTTAGTGAATTTTTAACAAGTAATATTGTGATAAAGAACATTTATTGTGGACACATTACTGACACATGTATCACAGTTCCATGGAACATTATGAACGTTCTACTGTATACATATTGTAAAGGACACAACTATACATCATATACAATAAAAAAACAAATAAAACCGCATTGGAAATACATAGAACAAATAATTGAAAATATATTTGTGGCAACACCCGGTGCTTGAATGGCCCGTGCGACCGTGTCTGGGCGATTCATGCTCGGGCGACCAGGCCCTAATGACATCACAGCGCACCTCGTCCACATCCCCACAGCCAAAATAAGTAGAATCTGGTATTTATTTTTACATAGACATGTTCAGGGAAGGGAATTTATCATTTTACGAAGAAAAAAGAATTTTTGGGGAACACTTTATTTCATGCGCACCGTGGGAATTTCACAATAAACTCAGCGCAGCATGGTGGTTAAGAGTTAAATCTTACGTGGTACTCCCAACCATACATAGCTGTGGTGCGCAGTCCCGCAATAGTTACTCACCCCAGCTATGGATGTATTGCATGGTTTAAGGGTTAAATCAGCTACCAAAATATTGGAAAAATAATAAACTTTTAATATTTTATATTCCCATGATATTGTATTTATACATGTATAAATTTAATAAGGAGAGAAGAGTACACTAATTATTATTTCATCATCATAAAGCAACAGCAGTTAAGAAGTCCAATATTTTTACCTTATCATCTAATGCCAGAGCCATAGCTTGAGCTAAGGAGGTACGAGTAAAAGTAGTGACACTGAGAGGTTCGTAAGTCACGCTTGGAGATGCCCACAGAGCAAACACTTCATGAAGACTACTGAATCCTGTCTCGAGGGGTCCCACTACACTCTGACCTGCAAAATTAAACAGGAGTTACAAATATGTATGTGCACTTATTCTTTTCTAGATATAAAGTTTCATAATTCCTGTCAGAACAATAGAAAGACAGTGATTAGAAAAACAGATTAAAGAAACACAAACACACACTCACACACATTGAAGATGATTAAGTTTATTGTTGGAAATAGACTACAAATATTATATGACCTTGTTAACCTAACTTCCTCGTGTAGTTAGTGTAGAATAATTTTTAACGTAACTTGAGAAAATCAGAGATGATTATACAAATGTCAAAAAACCAACGTTGAATATAATAAAACGCCATTTTCTGGGCGAGTCCGTGAGGCTCCCCAGAACTATACCGGGCTGATATGTATTAGACCGTGACATCAGTCAATTCGATTGAGTTCTAGCCTGCTGGGAACCACGCGCCAGAACCTGGCCCACTCAGAGATGCACGAGGAAACTATAGAAACCCCCTTGTGGTTGGAAGCATTCTATGTCTGCTATCTACTGGGGTTAGGCACCCAGAAAGTTTGGCTTCCTAAACAAACTCCACCTGGTTAAAACTGCTACCGCAAGCCGAACTATCAATCAGAACTCCACAATCTGAAAACAAGCAAACAAGCATGACGTCACAACTTCCGCTGCGCCGCTCTCTCTGCCCAGCTATCTGCGCAGTTTCCCATACCCAGACCCCTCGCACTGGCCATCCATCATTTCAGAGGCCGAATATAAAAATTGCCAAAAAAAAAAAAAGCCAACCAGAGGGAGGGAGGCATGCTGGGGAGTCTCCAGAATTCACCGAGCAAATGGTGTTTCATTGCATTCAACGTTGGTTTTTTGTGGCGAGCCGCTCCGGCTCCCAGGAGCTACTTAACTATAGAAAAGTACAAGAGGGACTTACTTAGGAGACAGCCGCCACTCACACCTCAACTCGAAGTAGAGACAACTGGCTGCAACCTGCAACCCACACACCCGACTAGGGCCAGGAACATTAATGAGGCAGCCAGGACCCTGTTCGACCTCCAAAATCCTCGAGCCCAAATGTCAGCCCAAGACATATTACCACAAAGCCAGCGTTGAATGTAATAAAACGCCATTTTCTTGGTGAGTCCCAGAGGCTCCCCAGAGCTATGCAGGCTGAATGGATATGTATAACTTTCTGGCACCGGTCAATGTATGGAGTTCTTGCGTACCGAGAACCACGAGTCAGAACGTGACCCCCCCCTCTAGAGAGGCACGAGGAGCAATGGCCTATAGAGACCCCCCTTATGATTGGGAGTATTCAACGTCTGCCATCGACCGGGATAGGCACCCAGAAAGGTAGGCGCCCTAAAAGAAACCTCTATTCTGGTAAACTATTGCGACCGAAAATCGAACAAGTGGACAGAACTCCCCAAATGAAAATTAGCAAACAAGCATAACGTCAATATGTCGCCGCACCATTGTCTGTGCAACCCCCCCCCCCTCCCCGGGAGGGGAAGGGGGGGTAGGCCCAGACCCCACCGTCGGCGACCTAACCGCTAGTTCTTAGGCTGGATGTCAAAAATGCAAAAATACCGCCGACCGGAGGGAGGGATGCCGGAGAGCCTCCAAGACTCACCTAGAAAATGGAGTTTCATTACATTCAACGCTGGTTTTCTGGGGGAAGCCTCGTTGGCTCCCCGGAGCTAACTACCGAAAGATAAGGAAAAACAGGGAATTACCCAGGAGGTGGTCCGTCCTCACTTCTCAACGTGAAGTCGAGACAACTGGCTGCAACCGCCGATCCAATGCAACGCAAGCCCGACCAGACCCAGGAACATTCACCAGGTAGCGAGCGGCCAGGACCCTGTTTGATCTCCAAAAACCCTGGACCTGAATGTCCACCCAAGACATGTTGCCAAAGACGGCAGCCAAAGCAGCAAATTTACGAACGTCGTGCACCCAGAGAAAACCACAGGCTGGCTACACTTAATAACCCTGTGGACGACCTGAGAGACCCAAGCTCGGGAACAGGGAAGAAGGAAAACCGGATTAACCCAGAGCACATCCCCGGCAACCGAAGCCATAGCGTGCAAGTAACGGCGGAGAGCTGCAACCGGACAATACATGATGCACCCCCGGCCTGACCAACCAAGCATCAACAACCCATGGCCCCCTCCGGAACACAGTCATCTCATTCTTCGCCAGACCACCAGGACCAAAAGAGCAGAAACCTCTGTGCAGGAGGAGAGCATGAAGCTCCCCAACCCAACCCCCAAGAGGCCAATGCCAAAAGGAAAAAGAGCCTTAGAAAAACAATCCCGAACGGAAGGGACCACAACAAACTGAGAAGAGAGAAACGAGAGCACGCGGCCCAAGGACCAAGACAGCTTAGGCGGCGCATGAGCAGGCCAGAGGTGAAAAAACGCACAAGACAGCTTGCAAAACGGGGCATAAGTAACATCAACACCGAAAGAAAGCTGAAGTGGCTCCGCCAATGATGCACGATACGAAGCGACAGTATTCGGCATAAGATGACGGTCCTGAAACAACCAAGAAAGAAAGGACAGAACAACCCTATCAGAGACCAAAGAATACCGACGCAGTGATAGGAAAAACCGGAAGGACCGCCAGGAAACTTCATACTGCCGCTGAGATTTAGCACACAGGTGGGAGACCACGAACAAAGCCACCTGCGCACCATACAAGGAATGCTAAACCAGAGTTAAAAACACCAGATGTGAAGACTCGAGGAGAAGACCGAACCAGCCTCATCCAGGGCTGGACCGATCTGCTGAGAGAGGAGCAGCCATGGGAAGACCATCGGGGTTCGGACACCGAACAAGCAGCGCCTGAAACCAAGGCTGGGCCGGCCACCAAGGAGCCAGAAGGACAACTCGACCCTGGTAAGTCGCCAAGCGAACCAGGACCTGGAGCAACAGCGGAACCGGAGGAAGAGGTATAGGTAACCCCACCTCGCCCAGTCCTGCCTCAAGGCGTCGACCCCGACGGCCTTGCCGTCTAGAAGGGTGCCACGTATACCGGGAGACGCCTCAACCACGCCGACGCGAAGAGATCCATGTCCAGAGTCCCAAACGTCCGGCACAGCCAACTGAAGGAGTCAGCATCAGCCGTCCATTCTCTGGAAAGGGGAAGGAACCGGGACAGGAAGTCCGCCAGGACGTTGGACACTCCCCAGACGTGAACCACCAGGAGAGCCAAACCCAGAGAACTCAGCAGACGAATCACCCGAAGCAATCAGCGCCAAAGTGCCAAGGGCAGCATCGAATCCCCGTGGTTCAGGCAATGAACCACCTGGTGAGCAGTACAAATGGAGCCCGATCGTTGATCCGCGAGCGATTCAAACCCTCCGGAGTGACATCCACACAGCTGCAAACTGCTGTGAGCCTGACGGAAGGACGGACCCCACCGCCCCTGGCTGGCCTAGTGAGCACTGGTCACAAAACCCCAGCCAAGAGACAACGCATCCATGTACACATCGAGTGACGGCTCAGGAAGGCGCCAAGGCACCGAACCCTGAAAAACCCATAGAGGAAGTCAGAGACGCAGCAACCGACGCAAAGCCCCCGGAGGCCAAACCTAACGATCGCGAGAGAGGTGGAAGGGCTGTCCCCGAAGGAACCAGAACAGCCGACGAAGCCACACCCGACCCGGCGGGTAGACCATCATGGCAAAGTTCAGGCTCCCGCACAAACTCTCGAGCAACCGCCTTGTGACCCGGAAACCCCTCAGAAACAGGCGAGGGCGAGACCGCAGACGCAACAGAGCCGCTGGAGGTAGAGACAAGGAAGCAGTGCGAGCGTCCCAAACCAAACCCAGCCAAGACCAAACCTGAGAGGGAACCAGATGGGACTTCCTCCAGTTCACTAAGAACCCGAACCCTGCGAACTGGGAACGAATCAAATCCCTGGCGAGCAGACACACGGACTGGCTGGGAGCCCAAACCAGCTAGTTGTCGAGGTAGGCCAGAACCCGAACACCTAGCAAATGCAGGCGGGCCACCACGACCCAAGTAAAGCGTGTGAAAATGCGAGGTGCCAGATTCAACCCGAAGGGAAGACAACGAAAGCGGTAACCTTGACGCCCCACAACAAAACCGAGCCAGTCCCTGAACCCCAGATGAACCGGGATATGCCAATACGCATCCTTGAGGTCCAGGGACACCATCCAAGCGCCCCACTCCAAGAGAAGATGAACCTGGGACAGTGTAGTCATCCTGAAGGAGGGGCACAAAACCCACGGGTTCAGACGGGACAAGTCCAGAATGAACCGGAGGTCCTCGCAGTCCCGTGTCGAGACCAGAAACAGGTGGGAAACCCACCTGAGGGACGCCGCCGTTTCGACCACGCCCAAGTGAACCCACTCTGAGATGACCCGACAGAGCGCAGGACAAGAGGCCTGCCCCCGCCAGCCCCGAACCCCCCGAGGGAGGAGGAGCCACCTAACGCCACCACAGGCCGCATGAAACGACCTGAAAAGCCCACGAATCGTGGGACCAGGCGTGAGCATACTAGGTGAGCCACCCCCACCTCCCTGTCAATGGGATGAACCGCGAAAGGGCCAAGCCCCAAATCCAGCACCAGAGGCCTACCCCAAAGAAAAGACCCCCGAGCCCTGGCACGACCCTTCCTGTTAGGCCCCCCTGCGAGCTCCCAGGAGCAGCAACAACTCAGACACAGGCCGACAACTAACCGAGGCCGCCTGCAGGTACTGCACCACAGCAGATTCAGCAAACAGCAATGGACAAAAGGGAGAAGACAAACGAAGAGCCAGGGGCCCAGGGGGATTCCAAGGAAGAAGCCAGCGCCACCTGACGTCACGCAAGACGAGAAGCATAGAACCACGAAATTACATCACGCAGGATGGGCGCGAAGAGCTTCAACAAAGCAGACTACACCTGCAGCGCAAAGAGCAGTGCACCAAACTTGGCAGCGGCCCAAAGCGCTCCCACATCCAACTCAAGCCAATTCGAGGAGGAGGGAAAAGGAGGGAAAAGAAACGCAGAGCCGAAGCAAGCAGGCCACGAGTTTGCAAATACTCCGCAACCAATGCAGTCAAGAGGGAAGGAACCTGCATGTGATGCTGCATGACACCAATCTCCCGCGGAAGGGCAGGGGCGAACAAACAAGCATTAAGATGCTCGAAGTCGCCCCCCAGGAAAACGCTATGCATACATCAGACAGCAGCACAGTACCTCGTGCCCCAGCCAGGGACGAAATCCCGAATGGCTCAGGAAGATAACCCTAGGCCGCATGGGCAGTACTTACAGAGCACCTAGGGAAGGTGGCCCTAGGTGCATGCGGCCCCAGTACTCTTTGTGTTACTCCTGGGTCGCACACCACCATCACTGAACAACAACACCGCTAAGCAGCACTGCTCAAAGGATGGAGCCAGAGTCGATCGACCACTGCCAACACAACAGGCTCTAGAACCAAGGAGCATAGCCAGTGCGGAGGTTTGGAACCCCCAGTCCCCCTTCCCTGAGAGGAGGGGGTTGCGCAGACAGATGTAATTACCTAAGTGTAATTACCTAAGTGTAGTTACAGGATGAGAGCTACGCTCGTGGTGTCCCGTCTTCCCAGCACTCTTTGTCATATAACGCTTTGAAACTACTGACGGTCTTGGCCTCCACCACCTTCTCACTTAACTTGTTCCAACCGTCTACCACTCTATTTGCGAAGGTGAATTTTCTTATATTTCTTCGGCATCTGTGTTTAGCTAGTTTAAATCTATGACCTCTTGTTCTTGAAATTCCAGGTCTCAGGAAGTCTTCCCTGTCGATTTTATCAATTCCTGTTACTATTTTGTATGTAGTGATCATATCACCTCTTTTTCTTCTGTCTTCTAGTTTTGGCATATTTAATGCTTCTAACCTCTCCTCGTAGCTCTTGCCCTTCAGTTCTGGGAGCCACTTAGTAGCATGTCTTTGCACCTTTTCCAGTTTGTTGATGTGCTTCTTAAGATATGGGCACCACACAACAGCTGCATATTCTAGCTTTGGCCTAACAAAAGTCATGAACAATTTCTTTAGTATATCGCCATCCATGTATTTAAATGCAATTCTGAAGTTAGAAAGCATAGCATAGGCTCCTTGCACAATATTCTTTATGTGGTCCTCAGGTGATAGTTTTCTATCTAGAACCACTCCTAGATCTCTTTCTTTATCAGAATTCTTTAAAGATTTCTCACATAATATATAGGTTGTGTGGGGTCTATGTTCTCCTATTCCACATTCCATAACATGACATTTATTTACATTAAATTCCATTTGCCAAGTGGTGCTCCATATACTTATTTTGTCCAGGTCTTTTTGAAGGGCATGACAGTCATCTAAATTTCTTATCCTTCCTATTATCTTAGCATCATCAGCAAACATGTTCATATAATTCTGTATACCAACTGGTAGATCATTTATGTACACAATAAACATCACTGGTGCAAGAACTGAACCCTGTGGTACTCCACTTGTGACATTTCTCCATTCTGATACATTGCCTCTGATTACTGCCCTCATTTTTCTATCAGTCAGAAAATTTTTCATCCATGATAGAAGCTTACCTGTCACCCCTCCAATATTTTCCAGTTTCCAGAACAACCTCTTATGTGGAACTCTGTCGAAAGCCTTTTTTAGGTCCAGATAGATGCAGTCAACCCAACCATCTCTTTCCTGTAATATCTCTGTGGCTCGATCATAGAAACTGAGTAAATTCGATACACAGGATCTTCCAGATCGAAAACCATACTGTCTGTCTGATATTATATCATTTCTCTCTAGGTGTTCTACCCATTTAGTTTTGATTAGTTTTTCCAATACTTTCACTATTACACTTGTCAATGATACAGGTCTATAATTGAGGGGGTCTTCCCTGCTGCCACTTTTGTAGATTGGAACTATGTTAGCCTGTTTCCACCCGTCTGCTACGATTCCTGTACACAGGGATGCCTGAAAGATCAGGTGAAGTGGAATGCTGAGCTCAGATGCACATTCTCTCAGAACCCATGGTGAAACGCCATCTGGGCCAGCTGCTTTGTTCTTACCGAGCTCCTTGAGCATTTTTTCCACTTCGTCTCTAGACACCTCTATGTGTTTTATGTTGTTCTCTGGAATTCTTATTGTATCTGGTTCCCTAAAGATTTCATTTTGTACAAACACACTTTGGAACTTTTCGTTTAGTGTTTCACACATTTCCTTTTCATCTTCCGTGAATCTATTTCCCATTTTCAACCTCTGAATATTATCCTTTACCTGCAATTTGTTGTTTATGAATTTATAGAATAGACCTGGTTCTGTTTTACATTTGTCCGCAATCCCTTTTTCAAAATTTCTTTCTGCCTCTCTCCTCACTGCCGTGTAGTTGTTTCTCGCATCTTTGTATCGCTGTGCGACGGTTGTGGTGACGTCATGCTATTTTCCCTGTTTTTGACTGCGGAATTATGCTTGCTAGTTCAGCTTTCGGTTTGCAATTTTTGACCAGCAGTAGTTTGTTTTGGAATTCCTACCTTTCTGGGTGCCTGACCTGGTAGATGGCAGACAGACTGCTTCCAATTACACGGGGGTGTCTTTAGGCGATTGCTCCTCGTGCCTTTTCTTGAGGGGAAGGGGAGGACAGGTTCTGGGTCTGGTCTCCAGTAGGCCTAGAACCCCTTCACTTGACTGTTGCCACGGTCTAATACAGTGGGGCCTCGACTTACGAGGGTAATCCGTTCACAGAGATGGATCGTAAGTCAAAGCAATTTTTCCCACAAGAAATAAAGGAAATTGAATTAATCCGGTCCCCACCCTCCAAAATATTTACAAATACATTTTATACTGAATACAATTTTGTTCTCTAACAACAATAAAGTACATAAATTTATCTTACCTTGTTAGAGGACTCTTGATGGTGTATGGAAGATGGTGATGAGGAGGGAGGAGGAGAGGTGTTACTGTTTGGAAGGGGAGTCCCATTCCATTATAACATCAGACAGTGATGACTTTTCTGGGATACACTCTCTGGCATGTTTTGCCTGCATACCACTAGGACCTGCTTGTGGCTCACTGCTTGCTTGTCTTACTAAGAATCTGTCTAAAAACACTTGTTTTTCCTTATGTTTTAACACTTGTCTATAGTAAGACATCACATTGTCATATAAAAGATCAATGCAACGGCCTGCTACAGCTTTATCTGGGGGGAGTTTTTTTCAACAAAACTCTGCAGTTCTTCCCATACTTCACACATTTTCTTAATGAGGAAGGGACATCCTCTACTGCCTCAACTCACAACTATTTTCTTAGGTTGAACCTTACCACTGACTTTCTTGGGACCCATGGCATGATATATAATAATCAGTTTTATGTTCAAAACGCAAACAAATCACCACAAAAACGTAATTTCTTATAGGCGTGATCGTCACTAAACGGGCAGCTGTAATAAACTGAGGCAGGTTGGCCCGCGTGACCGGGAACCACGCGCTCGGTCGACCCAAACGTGTACCAACAAATATCGTTAGTCGACGACACTATCGTAAGTCGAGTCACATTTTTTTTATCAAATTTACATCGTAACTCGAAATTATCGAAAGTCAAGACAATTGTAAGTCGAGGTGCCACTGTATATATATTCACATCAGCCTGGTATACCTCTGGAGGAGCTGAAGGGGCTCTCCACAGAAATGGGAATTATTATTATTATATAATAATATTTTTCTATCATGTTTTCAAGCACATAGTAAAAATACAAACCTTTACAGTGACCCCAGAGGTAAATTTTTGAATTTTGTGTCATAGCTGCTGAAAGATGACAGTAGTGTGATGACGCAATATCAACAATACGGCCCAGGTCCTGTGCCACTCTGACTGGAGCACACTGGTTGGCCTTGTTTCCTGTTCCCAGCTGACCATAGCTGTTTGCACCCCATGCCCACAAGCTACCCTCATCACTCAGGGCAAGTGTGTGAGAATATCCACAATCAATCTGAGAAAACAAACTGTAAAACTCTGCCTATATATTTTTCAATCATTATATAAGATATCAAACTTCAAATGTGAATGTCAAATTCTTGTAGTGTCCATTTAAAATTCTTAGAGAACAGCAGTACAGTATTTAATAATGCTATAGTAAAGATCCTAACCGATGGTTTACCTTTCTTTAGTCACATATGGTACACATTCATATCTGTTTGGAGTGTTACAAAAATTACACAGAAAGGAAATTCTGCACAAGCATTCCTCTAAGTTGTTTTTAGTTAAGTGTTTAACATTTTACAACATTGTTCATCACTAAATCAAAACTCAAGGAGTAATTAAGGTTTGCCAAGGTAAATTTGCATGGGAATTTAATTTAATTATTTAACATTTTGTTAACTGCTGATTAAGAGCATTAATGCCATACAAGTCATATTCTGTATACATTTATCTGTCTACTAATCTAACAACAAACTCCACACCAATTCCAAATAATATAACAAGTGTGCAAGACTTGCCCGAAACACTATGCATATTAGTGGCTTTAGGTATTGTATGTACTAGCTCTATCTATAAATCCAACATTATGTTTGTAAATCAACTATGTATGTACTTTTCCTGAATAAAAATTTATTTATTTATTTATTTATTTATAACTTCTTTAGAGAATAAAAAAAAAAACAGCATTAAATGTAATGAAATGCCATTTTCTGGATGAGACCCAGAGGATCCCCAGAGCTATACTGGGTTGATGTGTATATATATATTAGACCGTGGCAGCAGTCAGTTGATGGAGTTCTAGGCCTACCAGGGACCAGCACCAGAACCTGGCTCCCCTCAGAGAGGCACGAGGAGCAATGGCCTATACACACCCCCATGTAATTGGAAGCAGTCTACCATCACCGATGTCTGTCATCTACTATGTCAAGCACCCATAAAGGAGGGAATTCCAAAACAAATTACAGCTGGTTAAAATATTGCAACCGAAAGCCGAACTAGCAAGTAGAACTCCCCAATCGAAAACAAGCATGATGTCGCCACAGCCGCCCCGCTGTTGTCTGCATAACTCCCCCCCTCCCCGGGAGGGGGAAGGGGGTCCCTGACCACCTGCGCTGGCTAGTCAACCCCAGTTCAGAAGCTAAATATCAAAAACGCAAAAAAAATGCCAACTGAAGGGGAACGAGGGATGCTGGGAAGTTTTGGGTCTGTTACGACCCTGAGTTCATATTGGAAACCAGAGGTCAAATTGAATCTAAACAGTTAGGTAAGAAGGATATTTAGTTAACAATAATGTTTACACTCTGGGCTTTTCATATTCCGTCTTTGATTCCGTCTTCCTTGCCAGACATAAGATGAACCTTGTTACTCACAGATTATTCAGACTCTGAGCTTGTTGATTATTAAATGGAATATTGAACTAGTTATCAACTATTCTTAGAACTGTTAAAGTAACCAGTATTGAATGTTGGTGAAGACTTGTAATGTTTATGGCTGTACAGCTAGGTATCGATCAGCTAGGTATCTTCCCGGCAGCAGTTTGAGAGAGCTCGGACACTGGGCTCTCCCTCACTCTTCTCTAGATTGCTGTGCTGGTGTCAACATTCTCCCTTGGGTGTTCTGTTTCTTCTCCTCCTCCTCTCTTCCCTTACCTTATTCTGGGTGTACTTTATAAGATAAGTAACCATCCGTGTATTTACTGTGCTACTAGCTAGGTGTGTGTTTTGTTTAGAGGTATTTTAAGCCAGTGTTTTGGCATCAATAAGTGTACTCCATTGTGACTAGTGAACCATGAGGTGTTCACGTGGTTCAAGAGGCTACTGAGGCTGCTTCCAGCCTTACAAGTGCCTCTCTTCAAGTTGACTTGACACTAGTTTTTCAAGTGTAAACCTTGTATCCTGTCTAAATGGACCAAGGTATTTAACGTAAGGTAGAGTGGTAAAGTATATTATTGTAGTAATGTATATGGTAGGTTATTAGAGGGTTTAATAAATAAGCATTAAGAAAGGAGTATTTCTTCTTCCTGTTGAGAGTGGAATAGGGGATTACCTTAGACTAGACAGTTTTTCTAGCCAAGCAATTGTTTATTTTCTGGGAATATTCTTTCTCTGGGGGCCGGGGCCTCCCTATTGCCACTATTTTAGGAACTCCTTTGTATTTCAATATTGGCCCTCTCAGTAGTCACACTACCCTCATAACAGGGTCTCACCCAAAAAATAGTTACATTCAATGCTCGTTTTCTGTGGAGAGCCCCTTCGGTTCCCCGGAGAAACCTAACCAAAGATAAAGGAAAAAAGGGACTAACCCGGGAGGCGGCTGCCACTCCCTCCTCAACTCAAAGTCGAGACAACTCGCTGCAACATGCGACCCAAGGCTACACACGCCCGTGAATGGCCAGGAACATCAACACGGTACGGCCAGGACTCTGTTCGACCTCCAAAAGCCCCGTGCCCAAATGTCAGCCAGGACATATTACCAAAAATAGCAGCCAAAGCCGCAACTTTACAAACGTCGTGGGCACAGGAATAGACCGCAGGGTGGTTGGACCAAATAATCCTGCGGACGACCTGGGAGATCCACGCTCTGGAACAGGGAACAAGGGAAATCAGGTCACCCCACAGCGTGTTCCCTGCCACGGAGGCTGTGGCATGCAAGTAATGGCAAAGAGTTGCAACCGGACACAAAACATGATGTACCCCCAGACGAACCAACCAAGCATTAACAACCCAAGGACCTCTCTGGAAAGCAGCAGTCTCATTCTTGCAGCAGAATGAATAGTAGGCCCACACAGTCCCATTTCAGAACTGGAAACAGGTGGGGAAACCCAGCTGAGGGAAGCTGTCATTTCGACCACGCCCAAGCAAACCCACTCCAGGTTGAAATGACAGAGCGCAGGGGAAGAGACCTGCCTTGCAAGCACTGAAATGCCCACGAATCGTGGGACCAGGTCAGAGCAAACAGTGTGAGCCTTCCCCCACCATCGCCTCGTCAATGGGGTGAACTGTGAAAGGGCCCACGACCCTTACAAGAGCCTGACTAACGCTGAGAGCGATCACTGCACCGACCAGATGGCGTAGACGCCGACAGACGGCTCCACAGAAGGGGCTGGCCCTGAATCTGGCACAACTGGCTTACAACGACCGAAGGAACCCCGAGCCCTGGCACGACCCTTCCAGACAGGACCATCATGGCCCCCTTTTCCCCCAGAAAACCAACAAGTCCAACATAGGACAGCAACTAAACGAAGCCGCCTACAGAAAAAACATCATCGCAGACTCTGCAAAAGGGGATGAAAATCTAAGAGCAAAGGCCCAAGCGGATTCCATAAGAGTGGACGAGCACCACCGACCAGCATGTGAGGCATGAAGCAAAGAACAGACACTGCTTCCTTCAGAATCGGAGCAGAAAACTTCAACAAGGCAGCCGACCCCCGAGCTGTCGAGGAAAGCACCCCGGACGCTGGTATAAAACCCAGATCTTCCACATCTTCCTCGAGCCAGTCCAAAGACAGCTCCAGTAGAAAAAAGAAACGCAAGACCGAAGCCAAATGCCCATGGGGCGCAAAGCCTCTGCCACCAGGGACGCCGAAAGGGAGGGAAATCACCTCGCCGATATCACGAGGAAGCACAAGGGCAAACAAGCACACATTGTGGTGCTCAAAATCACCCCTTTTCCCTCAGGTAAACCTGAATGACCGTAGTCAACTCCCGACACTCAAGTGCATGGGTTCAACAGAACACATGCCATGCCCCCCAACGAAAAGAAAGGGCAGTTTGCCAGCCAGGAAGACTCCGGCATTCCGGAAGGTGTAATTTGGGTCTTGCAGGAGGTAAGCCGCAAGGGACTCCCACACTTCCCGCGGTTGGATGCGGGAAGTCGAAATCCTCGGGAAGAAGGGTACCAAGGAACCCTAGGGAACCTGGAACCAAACCCATGGAGGAGTTTAAGCCATATCAAACTCTTACAGGGAGGAGGGATAGGAAAACCCCTCCTCCTGTAACAACAAGCAACAGGGACAAACAGGGCCCAAGCCCCCAAGGCAACTCCTTCCCAATCTTGGGATCCTCCACATCAGGACCCTGGGCTGAGCCGTCCTCCAAACCCTCTGCCTCTGGAGAAAAGGCAGAGTTCACCGGAAAAGCAGGGATGAAGGGGGGGCCCGCTGGCATGACCCAAAAGCCCCAGCAGGAGGAACAGATCAATGCCTCTGCCGCCGATCCGGAAGGGGCAGTCTCTGAAGCCACCTGAAGCTCACCACCAAGAAAACTCTGCCCCAACTCCAAAACCCTCAGATGTTTGGGAGCCAGGAGCAAGGTAAGGAGAAGCTGGCGCGGACGAAACCAGAGTCAAAGCCACTAACATCTAAGTTCGGGGCCCTATAACCAAAATGGGGCAGCCGTAGGGCATCTGGAAAGGCAAGTAACCTAGAGCGTTGCAGCAATCTAAAAAGCACATGCAATGCAGATGCTGCCTGCACCCAATCAACAGTACTGTATTCTCAGACTGTGTGAACTGGAGTACATGCAAAGAACACCACTCACCACAGGGGGCTGGTGGCTGACTGGACAGCACGCTGGATGCATGATCCTGTGGTCCCGGGTTCGATTCCTGGCACCGGCGAGAAACAATGTGCAGAATTTCTTTCACCCTAATGCCTGTTACCTAGCAGTACATAGGTACCTGGGAGTTAGTCAGCTGTCACAGACTGTTTCCTGGCTGAGGTGTGTGTGTGTGTTGTGGGAAAGAAAAAGTATGGTGGAGGCAAAGACAGTGAATGTCACCATGAGACAAGGGGACAGAGCAACTTCCAAACTCGCACAAAGCGAGATTGGACTCAAGAGGTCGCCTCCATTGAACCAATCAACCCAAATGGGGGTTCCCAGGGCCCTTAGGCTGACTGCTAAGGGAAGCCCAGGCAAGGTGCTGCTAACCAGTTATCCCAGAGCTACTAAGCAAACAAACTAAAAGCTGAACCCCTGCAACACATGCAATCATGGGGACCTAGCAGAGGGCCACCAAAATCATAAAGTGGTCCTACAGCAACACCAAGCAGACCATTACCAGGCAAAACAAAAGTAAAAGAAAAACACTACAAAAGCAAAACGTCTCCAGGGGAACAGAACCGGCCGCTATGCGTATATCAGACAGCTGCACAGTACCTTACACCCCAGCCAGCGATGATACTACCTCCTACCCAAGGTCAAACAGGAATTTGACCAACCCTAGCTGATCCCAAGGGTGGGCAATCACCGAGTTGCAAAAGAACCAAGCGGAGGTAGTCTCCCGAACAGCTCATGGAAGATAACCTTAAACTGCAAGGGCAGTACTTATAGGGCAGCTAGGGAAGGTGCCCTTAAGTACTGTACATGCAGCCCCAGTACTCTTGTGTTACTCCTGGCTCGCACACCAGCGCACAGAACAACACCACTGCTATGGACAGTACTGCTCTAAAGGATGGAGCCAGAGTCGATCAATACGCCACCAAACACAACAGCCTGTAAACTGAAGTTGGGGTAGCCGGCATGGAGGTCTGGGACCCTTCTTTCACTTCCTAGAGAGGGGGGAGTTGCGCAGACAGCAGCGCAGCAGCTGTGGTGACGTCATGCTTGTTTGCTTGTTTTCGATTGAAGAGTTCTGCTTGCTAGTCCGGCTTTCAGTTTGCAATTTTTAACCATTTGAAAGTTGTTTTGGAATTCCTACCTTTCTGGGTAGGAATTTAGACCATCTACCAGGTCTGCCTGACCTGGTAGATGGCAGACAGACTGTTTCCAATTGCACAGGGGTGTCTATAGACCATTGCTCCTCGTGCCTCTCTTAGGGGGGGGGGCCAGGTTCTAGCACTGGTCTCTGGTAGGCCTAGAACTCTATCGACTGTTGGCATGGACTAATATATACACATCAGCCCGGTTTAGCTGCTGCTGTTTAAGATTCGCTACCTGGAACAAAAAGTTCCAAGCAGCACGGGCTATGGTGAGCCCGTAGTGGACTTGATCGGTATAGCTCTGGGGAGCTGAGGGGCTCTCCACAGAAAGCTAAAAAACATACTTAAATATTCCTAGGCCTAGTATAGCACACATGTACTATATTAGGCCTCAGATATTATGTATTAGGCCTAGGAAGATTAGGTTAGTTTAGTTTGTCTTTGCAACATAAGTAAAAAATAGTTTTCCAGTTTGTCCAACTCGATAGTGTCGATTTCTACTTTTTAATTTTGTTGTACGTCGGTATATATACACTATGGTCCTCATCGTTACTATACTACCAAACAGGAGGATGGGGTACATTATTCATACTGCATTGCTCACTGCTGCAGAGAGATGTAAATCTTCCAATCAATATCAAGCAGCATCCAGTGATGATACCAAAATGAGTAAAATAATCGTTAGATTTGGGGGGTTCCACCTGTTTATGTTATCAACTGTTGTCTCTCAACTCACCAGGCACTTTTTCTTGAAAACCTTTAACCCTACATTGAACATGCTAAGGACCATTTTTGTAGAGAATTATATTTCCTTTTAAAAGTATTCTGTACCTAGTTAGCTAAAACTGACAAGAAATGAAATATTTGACAAGCAATAAATAAATAAGGCAACTCTTTTTGCCTTTCTCTAGAAAGACAGAGTTAGCAATGACATGACAGATGTGTACAGTGGATGAAAGGGTATAACATAGGTAATAATATGGTGTTAAATATATCAACACAAAACAATGGGTATAAATTATTTAAGTTTAGAGTAAAAAAGACATGGGGGGTAAATACTAGTTTTGAAGCAGGGTTGTTGAATTGTGGAACAGGTTTCCAAGTAACAATAGATGTGGGTGTGTGTGTGATTGTTTTAGACATAGGTTAGACATACATATGAATGCGTTTGGGTGGATATATATATGGAAACGGCCTCGTATGGGCCAATAGACTTTCTACAGTTTCATTAATTCATGTGTTCTTAAGTTCTGAGCAGTCAAAGATAAATGTTATACAGTATATCCACTGTTCCATACAGTACTGAACAAAAATTGTCAATTCAGTATTAATTTTAAACTTATTTTTTTGTTAGAAACAAATTGTCATGTAAATAATACATTTATTACAATAAACTTCAAAGATGACCGAAAATTTCCAAATACTGATTTTTCACAACACAACGAATACTGAAAATTGTTTTGTCATTAAGCGCATAGAATCTGAGCTACCCTATAATGAGATGTGGTTTCTTATTAAGGGAGAGAAAACCCAACACAGGTAAGCCATTTCAAGCATCAATGTGAATTGTGACCAAAGAAAAGGACCATCAGTAGGAACTGGCGCTCCTTCCATAGTGCTGATTACAATGATGATTAACAATTCAAATCTAAATTTAGTACATTTCTGTACAGGATATGGAATAATGTAACTTATAATCACAAAATATATTTGATTAAAAAATCTTTGCAGAACTTTTAATCACTTAAAAATCATCTCCTAAACTAATATATACAGATACTGTACAGTATTTCAAACAGGAACCAACCTTTGTGATGACGACTCCTTGGAGAGCTGTGACTCTGCATGGGTTGTGCTGGTTGACATTGTTACCCAGGCCTAACTGACCATTACTATTCAGGCCCCACCCATAAACCTAAAACAAACACCAAATTATTTAAAATAAAATATAATAACAAAAATAATTAATTCCCAGTAGCTCTGACAAGTATTCTTTCACTATAAAAACAAAAGAATATTCAAAGTTGTTTAAACATTCCTGGATGTAACCCACTGTACACATTATAACGTACTGTACTTTGGGCTGAGATCTAAGGAGATAAAAACTGAAGGAATATCAGGAAGAAATATTTAATTTCATGATCTTCCACTGTTTTATCTTTTAACCAGTCTCTGGTGAGATTTTGAAGGCAATTACAATTTGGAGAAAAGCAGGAGGAACTACAGTATAAGCTAAACTGACAAATGCAGAGGAACCTCGGTACTCGAACAGCTCCCAACTTGAACAATTCGGCACTTGAACACTGTTCATGCTTGATAGTCGACCGTTTGCTTGACTCTCAAACACACATAATAGACAAATCAGTTTCCCAGTAGCTGTGGTTCAGTGCACAACTCCTCTAAATTGCAAACTTTCTTGGGTTTCTTGGACATTTTTTATATTCTTACTGTAAACAAGTCACCATAGTACCTAAGAAAGTTAGTGATAAGAGTAAAAAAAAAAAAAATTACCCGTATAATAGTTAGAACCATGATAGAGATGCAAAAGAACTCTGCAAAATATGAATTTGGTACCTGCGTGTCTGTTCTTGCTACCTTGTTTGGTATGCCTAAATCTACAATCTCTACGATAAAAAAAAAGACAGAAAAGATAAAGAACCCCAGAAGCAAAATTACCTAAAGTTTTTATGGTAGGGGACTCCTTTGTCAAACAATAACATTCCTCCTCCTCTTCCTCACCACATTCCACATATGCCTTCAGCTGTCCTAAATGCAGATAAAGCAAGAATAAACTTGCATTTATTTCATTTATTTATTTCATATGTGTATTGTTTGTGGTCTGTAATGGAATAATCCAATTTACTGTACATTATTCCTTATAGAAAACAATTATTCGGAACTTGAACAGATTGGTACTCGAATAGCCTTCTGGGACCAATCAAGTTTGAGTACTGAGGTTCCACTGTAGCAACAATAGTGGTGGAAAATGTAGGGAACTTGATAGTACTCTGGCCTGAAAGATAGGGAAACAACCCAAAAAAATATAAAAGAAATGTTTAATTTCAGAAATAGCCACTTTTTGATCTTGCGACTTCAAACAGAATGTATAAATCGTCATTTGGTAAGGTTAATGAAAATAAATATAAAATAAATGAAATGTTAAATTAAAAAAAATATTTGGATAAAGAGTGTCAAAATAAGTCCTAAAATTGATGTGATTAGAGCTTTGTTGAAGCTTATTTGAACAAATGCACATACAAAACTAACTGAAACTCATTATCGATCTATTTTCTTGAGAATCAACCAATTTTATTGTTTCAAACCTGCAAAATCTGATTTATTATTGTAAACCCTCACAAAACATAAGGTAACTACGCAGAATATCATTACAACATAACAAATCTATTTTGTATAATTCTAAAGGCCTGAGTGAGGAAAAGTAATCACGATATTGGAAAACTATTCTACTTTGGTAAAAGGTAGTATGCTTTAAATCAATGTTCAAAGACAAATTTTGATGGTAGATTACATTTCCACTTAGTGAAAATGTAATCTAGCATTACATTTTCAATGCTAGATTACACTGAGGATACCGTATTTAAAACCCAATTCTGTTTGTTTTCATTTTGAGTTCTCAAGGTTTTTGTTCACTCTTGTATGGTTTTAAAAATGAGTTTTATGGCTAAGGACATGAGAAATAAACTAGATGTGGTTAAATTTATTTACTGACATGTTCACTTGATAATTGTCTATGAACATTATTGGTAGAAATGAAAATTTTGCTAAGTGAAATTAGCCCATGGGACATGGGAAATGCATCCTGGAGGCATTCCCAGTTGCAAAGAATACCCAATTGCAACGAATTGGGATTGGTCCAATAAAATTTGATGAATCAATGTTGTGTGCTTCAAATATGGTTTTCAAACTTTAAATGTTTTTCAAATCTTAATGTGTAATAAACATGTATATTATGGTGGAACAAAATTAAAAGGATGCCAATTTTCAATGACCTTAGAATTGCTGCCATTTGAAGATGTACTGGTAAAGACGATGAGTCACAATAACGTGGCTGAAGATATGATGGCCAAACCACACATCAGAAGATGCAGAAACGACGACGTTTTGGTCCGTCCTTATCAAGTCATGTGTGATGGCGAGAGGAAGGAATGGGTTAATAAATAAGGAAAAAGTGAGGCAAGGAGCAGGTAAAAGAAGATAATTTCTAAAAGAAGGTAAGATGTAAGGTGAAAAGTAAGAACAGGATGAGAGATATGAATGGAATGAGTAATGATGGGATGAAGGAGGAATGGAATGATGTAAGAATAAGAGGGTAAGAAAAAGAAAAGGGTAAGGCTTAAGTCAGGTCACATTTATTAAGAAGGTTAGAGCATTTAAGTATGTACTGTAAAAGGGAAGAGTCAACAGCAACAAAACCAGGACTAAGGTTCATGTTGGGCAAGTTGTGTATCGGAGCCGATTCAACAAGGCAGCGTCTGTGAAGAGTAGAGGCAGGAAAGATTATTTTAAAAGAAGACCAATCAATAGGATGATTAGAGTCCCTAACATGACAGAAAAGAGCATTGTCTGTGTCTGCAGACTTAACACTTCTTTTGTGTTCCTTAAGTCTGTCATTTAGTGTAGTGTTCATTACCTTATCTTACCTGCTCCTCACCTTACACCTTATCTTACCTTCTAGAAATTACCTTCTAGAAATTACCTTCTAGAAATTGGCTTCTAGAAATTGCCTTCTTTTAGAAATTACTTTCTCTTACCTGCTCCTCACCTCACTCTTTCCTTATTTATTGACCCATTCCTTCCTCTCTCCAGGTCCACGCACATCTCCTGTGCCAGGTAAGTACAACGGGCTCACCATAGCCCGTGCTGCTTGGAACTTTTTATTCCGAGTACTGTAGCTGAATCTAAAAAACCAGCGTTGAATGTAATGAAACGCCATTTTCTGGGTGAGTCCCGGAGGCTCCCCGGAGCTATCCCAGGCTGATATGCTAATGTCAGACTTTGGCATCAGTCATGTGTATGGAGTTCTTAGGCCTACCGGGGACCACGGCCAGAACCGGGCCCCCTCAGAGAGGCAAGGGGAGCAATGGCCTATAGAAGCCCCCGTGTAGTTGGAAGCATTCTATGTCTGCCATCGACCGGAACAGGCACCCAGAAAGGTAAGCGCCCCAAAACAAACCCCTATTCTGGTTAAAATTGCTACCTAAAACCGAACTAGTGGATAGAACTCCCCAACCGAAAACAAGCAAACTAGTGTGACGTCACACACTGCCGCGCCGCTGTCTGCGCAGCTCCCCCCTCCCCGGGAGGGGGAAGGGGGAGCCCCAGACCCCCCGCGCCGGCTACCCACACCTCAGTTCTTGAGGCTGGATGTCAAAAACGCGAAAAACCGCCGACCGGAGGGAGGGAGGGATGCCGGGGAGCCTCCGGGACTCACCCAGAAAATGGCGTTTCATTACATTCAACGCTGGTTTTCTGGGGGGAGCCCCGTCGGCTCCCCGGAGCTAACTACCCACAGACAGAAAAAGAGGGACTTACCCGGGAAGCGGTCGTCGCTCACCCCTCAACTCGAAGCCGAGACAACTGGCTGCAACCGCCGACCCAAAGCAACACAGGCCCGACGAGGCCCAGGGACATTCACAAGGTAACGAGCAGCCAGGACCCTGTTCGACCGCCAAAATCCCCGCGCCCGAATATCAGACCAAGACATTCCCAAAGACGGCAGCAAGAGCCGCGAATTTACGAACGTCATGGGCCCGGGGATAGACCGCAGGCTGGCTGGACCTAATAACCCTGCGGACGACCTGAGAGACCCGAACCCGCGAACAGGGAAGAAGGGAAACCGGATCAACCCACAGCGCGTCCCCGGACACAAAAGCTGTGGCGCGCAAATAACGGCGAAGCGCCGCAACCGGACACAAAACATGATGCACCCCCGGCCTGACCAACCAAGCATCAACCACCCATGGACCCCTCCGGAACGCAGCAGTCTCATTCTTCGCCAGAAAAGAAGGAGACGGCTGCAAACGAACAAAACTATCACCACGACCAAAAGAGCAGAAACCCCTGCGCCGGAGGAGAGCATGAAGCTCTCTTACCCGACCCCCGGAGGCCAAAGCCAACCAGAAAAGTGCCTTGGAAAAACAATCCTGGACCGAAGGGGCCACAACGAAACGAGGAGATGAAAGGAAAGCAAGCACTCTGTCCAAAGACCAGGACGGCTCAGGCGACGCATGAGCAGGCCGGAGGTGAAACAATGCACGAGACAGCTTGCGAAACGGCGCAGACGTAACATCGATACCGAAAGCAAGCTGAAGCGGCTCCGCCAGCGCCGCACGATACGAAGCGACAGTGTTAGGCATAAGATGACGGTCCTGAAACAACCACGAGAGGAAGGACAAGACCACCCGAACAGACAAGGAGCTAAGACGACGAAGACGCAAAAAGAAACGGAAGGACCGCCAGGAAACTTCATACTGCCGCCGAGAAGAAGCCCTCAGGTAGGACACCAACAAGGAGGCCACCTGATCACCATAGAGATGATGATAGACTAGTCAAAAAAACCATACGCGAAGACTCGAGGAGAAGATCGAACCAGCTACGAGACGTACCGGCCCGATCTGCTGAAAGAGGCGGAGCCGCGGGAAAACCCTCGGGTTCGGACACCGAGCAACCAGCGCCTGAAACCAAGGCTGCGCCGGCCACCAAGGGGCCAGAAGGACAACTCTCCCCAGGTAAGTCTCTAAGCGAGTCAGGACCTGGAGCAACAGCCGAACCGGGGGAAAGAGGTACAGGAACCCCCACCTCGACCAGTCGAGCCGAAAGGCATCGACCCCGACGGCCTCGCAATCGGGGAAGGGCGCCGCATAAACGGGAAGACGCCGCGACCACGCCGACGCG